CTTTTCCCCTTGCTTCCTTAGTGTTTCTGCTTTGTGACTGATAAGACGAGGCTACCTGAGAAATGGCAAATAATATAAAATTATATATCAAATGAGAAGTCAACAAACCAATAAATAATCGCCTCATCAACACATGTGGGACCCTTGTTAGGTTCTTTTTCATGTAACGCCTAATAAAGAGACCTGTTGGTCAATGGAGGCAACTCGTTGTAAATTTTATAACAATCATACCATTCGTCACACGGGGAAAACATTGCATAATATATTTTTTAAAAATATTCATGAATTTTTAATTATTGTCCATATTATTTTTACATAATATTAAATCAAGAAATCAATTTAGAATTTTAAAAAATTCAACATACCTTCAACAAAAATAATATTTTTCATTTTTTTCAAAAAGCATTCAATGTTGAAGACTTTTGCAGAGATGTATATGATAATTGAAGTTACTTGAAGAATTTTTTTGAAGATATGTTGAAAACTTTTGAAGAAATTAAAAGTGGAAGATTATTGAAAAAACATTAAATATATGTTGCAAAAAATATTTGAGTGAAAAAAAAATAAAGACGTACCAAAATACCATTAGATGGTTGGTGTGAGTCCCACTATATTTTGAAAAGTAAGAATAAAGTGTCACAGTATTTCGCTCGCGTGGGACTTGCTTTATCTTTTTAATGTCATATCAATTTTAAATTAGAAGGATATTTTGGTAATTTTACCCGAATTTCATTCCTTTAATTTGAAGTTTTTTTGAATTTTTGTCATGATTCTCAAATATTTTCATCTCTTGGTCATGTCGACCAATTTTCCCCTTTTTTTTATTTTTGGATGAAAAGTCATGCCATGCTTATATGATAAGAAATGTTACGTAAGCATTCTATGCAAAAATTGGTGTAATATTATAATAATTATATTATATTGTAAATTATGAAAAAATTATATTATATTACAATACTAGGGTAAAAGCAGCAATGCATCCCTAAACTATATAAATCAAGGAGCAGGGAAATCTCAAATTTATTTATTGTATAATTTTTTTTTCTCAACTTTTATAGAGATAAATGTTCGATACTTTATGGTGATGGGATCCATTAGTTTAGTCATATGTTAGGTAAAAAACGAGTATTATCACATAGGGGTGAGCACTTGATTGGTTCAGTTTTAATTTTTCTAAAACCGATCAATTGACTTATATTAAAAATTTAAATCGAATTGAATCAAAATATATGATCAAACTAAATTAAAACCAAATTGAATTATAATGGTTTGATTTGATTGATTTATTTAGTTTATGGGCTTTGATTTGGGCCTATAGAGTCTAATTGTTCATATATTTTTCTATCCAATTTTTTTTCCATGTTGAAGGCCCAACAAAAAACAACAATTTTATACCATAATTCATGAAAAAAATTAATAAAACTCAATACTATTACATTAAAAATTAAATTATAGAAATAAAAAAATTAGAACATCACATTAAACAAAAAAAATTACTATTACAAGTAGTAGAAATATGTTTCTTACTCATATAGAGAAGAATTTATTCACATTTTTAAAAGTATGAAAAAAAATAAGTATAATTCGGTCAGTTCAATTTATTTGGTTTGAGAATTTTCAAACCAAATTGAACCGATTAACGAAAATTTTTCTTAAAAGAAAATCGAATTGAACTAAAAAATTGAATAGACTAAATCAAATAAACAAAATTCGATTCAAACTATTTGATTTTTGATTTCGATTCAATTTTACTCACCCCTACTACCACATTTCCGAACTAATAAGCCCCACCACCATAATGTAACAAGCATTTTTCTTTACTTAATTAGCATTGGGAGATGTTTCTATGAATTTAAAAATTGAGAAAATAAATTGCACAATAAGCAAATTTAGTATCTCTCATGTCGTTCGATCTATAGTTTAAAAGATAAGTTGTAATTCTTTTACTAACAATAAAAGAGTATTTATATGAGTTTGGTATGTCTCTTGGTGTGGCTATTTCTTATTGGCAGCTAGTCGTGCCTCAGCTAAGCCAAACGAACGGGACTTCACCTTCATCAACATATACACAAGATTCAACAACTATGAAGGAACCAAAACGCATGCAGGTTCCCAGAAATTCAGTATATACTTTTGACTCAAGAGAGACAAACATCATTGTTCAAAACAAACTTGTTGACCACGGTTTTAATCAATCATTAGCTTATTCAGCAGGAAATATCGATCAGAAGTTTGTTATATAAAGGACAATTAATGAACCAAAATCATGCACAAATCAACAAGGTGAACCAGTACGTAGCTGTTGAGAGCCTAATCAGTATATCATCCAAGCTTGCAATTTCACAAAGATTGACAATGGGTTATAAAGCGAAGAAGAATACAAGCTTTGGGTCCCTGATTCGTAGCCTATGTTCAGTCGGTTTCTTCGCCGGAGACACCAAGACGAGTAATAAGGCTGTGGCACCGTCGTCTAGTGGGGTGGCAAACGCCACCATGATCGCCGCCATGAAGCATTTCTCTATGCCTCACAAAGTAAAATTTGGTTAATCCTTCATAAATTAGAGGGCATGTTTTCTTACCTCTTTAAATTTTGTAGTTATATATTCTCTTATAATAAAAATAATCTTATTCGAGATACCATTAAATTCTTCCAACAAAAATTAAAACATTAATTTATTATATTATGAGGGACTAGCTTGATTTTTTCATTAAATCAGCTCTTGTTGGTTTTGGCTTTTCAGTTTCATACAAAAGTTTAGGTGACATGATTGATATACACAAGCATGTTTCAAGATTGATAGTTCATGTCAAAAATCACCATCACTAGAGCAATAAAAAAATTGAATCAGCGAGAAATAACAACACTGTCTAGTTGAATTAGTGGTGGGGCTTCTTGTTATTTACAAATAAACTATTGTCTCTGTTTCAAACGTGAAAATATTTTTATGCAACGCACACTTAACTACAAATAAAACAATCAGGTGGTTAAGATTCCTCCCCCGGGGCCCACCAAAATTCACCATTATTTAATACTAAGCATTATTTTTTTTTGTTTTTGATGAGAGGCAAGTTAATTTGATATATTCTTAGAGTAAAAAAAAAAAAACTAGTTACCTCAGTCTAGCCTAGCCAAATGAAGACTCCACATATTGAAATATTAGATTTATTTCTAAAAAATGCCTCATACTTGAAATAAGGATAAATTAGTCTATTAGCCGAAAAAAATATTATGCATAAAAAATATGGATCAAATTTTTGAATATTTGAGAGTGTGTTTAGTTTCTATTGATATACAAAAGGTTTATTATTGATATATAAGAGTTTTGTCATTGAAAATTTACAAACATTTTATCATTGATATAACATATATCATTAACAAATATAATAAATTGGCCATACTATAAAAGATAATAAATATTGAGTTATTTGCTTAGTTTGATCTTATAACATATGTTATAATTGCAAAATTCCCTTCACATAAAAAAGTATTTGTAATATATAATTTATTATTTCATATATACTTTTAAAAGTAATTAGGATAATATAAACATAAACATATAATAATTCAAACTATTTATTTTTATCTACTGCATGCAAAAAGGAATATTACTTTTAAAAATTAAAAGAGAAGCTTACACACACACTATACGTAAGAGAAACTTATATAATTAATAATATATTTAAGATATTTGTTTTGAATTAAATTAAGATATGTATATCTTTTATATATTATTTATTTTACAATAAATTTTTGCTATTAATATTATTAACACATTAAAATTTATGTGTTTTGATTTGATTAAATAAAATTATATTAATTATATAGTATTAAGTTCATAAGTTTTCTCTTGTTATATATATATATATCTATAAAGAAAAACTTATGTACTTAAATTTATATATTTAAATGCTTATTTTCAATTAAATTAATATATGTTAGTAATTTATATATTATTTATTTTATAATAAATTTTTATTATTGATATTATTGATTTATTAATAATCACAATGTTTTAATTTCATTAAATAAAAATATATTAAGTATATAGTACAAAATATACAAGTCATGGCGTTGGATATATATATGAGTGGCAGAACTCATTATTAACCCTAAAGTGTTTGGTTGGAGGACCTGAGGAGATTTTAACGAATTCGATTTAATTTAAAAGAAATGGATAGGCGTAAGGTGAGATTATGAAATTTCAATAAAAATAAGATGTAAAATAAAAGAGTAAGAAAGATTAATTAGAATATTTTGACTCACTTCTATAATTAAAATAATCAATCTCCAATTTTTTAAAATCTTCCCCCTTCCCTTCTCCCAAATTCCAAACATAAAATAAATTTTAGAGCTAGATGAGCCTAATTTTTTTTTTCTTAGAACCAAACTTGAGAATTCAATTTTTTTTATAAAAATTAAAAATTTTAATTTTTCAAGATAAAAATTTAAATTAGCTAAAAAATAAAAGAAAATAATATTTAATAGTTTGTGTATTCAAGTCAGCTTAAGCATTTTTATGTTTGACCTAAGTTACATGCTCTAATTAGGGCTCTTTTAGTTTTATATTCTACTTTCTCTGTTAAAAAGTATAAAAGTATTTTAAACCGAATCTCACTCTTCAATAAAATAGTTACTTACTTTTAAATTAATCTTATATTTTTATATTTACTTCTATTAAACCTTTTACAATAAATGTAAAGTCATTTATCAATAGAGACATTTTTTAAAAAAAGGTAATATTTATACTTCAAAAGATTAAAAATACTTTATATTTTTAATATTTAACTCTTTAAAAAATGTCTTATATTTTTGGAAGAAGTAATTATTATTTTTATTTTTAATTGTTAAAGTTGATTGTTTATGTTATAAATAATAAATTTTATGAGTTATTTTAAGAAAAAAATAAAATAAAAAATTGATTATTGACTATGCGTGAATAATTGCCCTCACGGGAGACACATGAGGCAAGCCACATGCTATCCTTCTCTCTCTCTCCTGTCCCCACTCTGCAGCCATTCCGTCACTCCGTCGAATGGGTCCTCTGTGACTCATCCCTCTCCAGCTTTGCTCCCAAGTCCCAACCGTTGAGGCTGGCACTTCAACGCTATTCCACCCCTTCTCGTGGTGGTCACGACACCGAATAGCCATAACCTTTTCGAATCCCTAATCAATTGGTCAATTCATCCAGGTTGAGCCCTCGCTTTCTTCAATTTTTTATCTGGTGTCACCATCTGGGCATTTCTGGGTTTCTGAATTTCGCCTTTTAGCTTTTGGGTTGATCGGTAGATTCCAAAGCAAATCTTGTCAAAATTTGAGCGAGGAAATTGTGCCCTGTTGTACGGAGAAGAATGAGAGCAGGGAAAGGGAATCAGGAGGAAGATGAGTACGAGGAGGAAGAGTTCGGTTCTAGAAAGGAAGGTCCTTCGTCCGCGCCCAATAGCACTAACAACAACAAAGGTAGCCCTTTTCGTTAGTTATCATCTCGTTTTACGTGAGCGTTAGATCCGGTTATTGGGTATTTGTTTATTTGTACGAGGTCCTATTTTACTCGTCGATTTATTCCGTTCGTAGGCTTATCTCATCATTTTACTTTTTTTTTTTTGGAAAATTAATTTTCTTTATGTCCAGTTATCTTGTAATTTTAAACCACTTGCAATTTCTATTAGTTAAGTGTTAATCTTATATTGACAATCCTTGCAAACTTTTGGCCGTGTCTATCAGAAAATCTGCATACCGTTGTTACAGGGGAATTCTGCGCTGTGACCTTTTCAGGTTTAGATTGTATTTGTTTTTCAATATGCTGAATATCATTGACATTGTTTTGGCATATATTGCAATTGATTATCGGTTTAAAACTTCAAGGTTTTATCATCAGAATTGTTAGGTTGCCTTTTTATGCTCTCTTACCCTGTCTGGGGAAAAAAGTGAGAGGAATTAACTTGTTTATGTATAAATGTATGTATCATGTTTGAATTCTTGGACAATTTTCTTTATTGTCAAGTCTTGACTAGTTGGAGCTCTTATGTTGGGATGCCTGTTGTTAAAACAGATACAAAAGCTATTGATAAGGCTAGTGCTACAAGATCAAAACATTCAGTTACTGAGCAGCGAAGGCGGAGCAAGATAAATGAGAGGTATGTGCAAACAATATGTTCTTTTGGGCTTTGGCATCAAGAGTTTGGTGGACCATGTGCAATATTCAAGTCATCAATTATGGTGGTGATTTCAACATTTCTCATCACCATATACTAATTATCCATTTAATTTAAATGACTATATGCTTGTGCTGAAATAGATAGGTTTACCATTGAAAGTAAATTTCTGTGCCTCTCAACTAAGCTCAACAGTCTTAAAAACATTAGAGCTCAGTAAAATTTGTTGATTTTGTTCAGGCATTTAATTGCTCTTGGAATATTCATTATGTTAATTATTGCAAAAGGTTAAAAATGTATTGCAGGACAAAAAACAAAAAGGGTCAAAACAAGTTTCTTGTGTAGTTTGTGTAATTTTTTTGAGGTGCAAAGCATATGATATTATTGCCTAAGAATTGGAGGTAACAGAATTGTACATTGCAATAGAACTACATAAGCAGTCTATAGCACATCTTGGAATTTTTTCTCTCTTGTGAATTCTACTGCATTTTTCTGCTGTGGATTGAAGAATGTTAGCCACTTGCTTCAGATTCCAGATATTAAGAGATCTCATACCTCATAGTGATCAAAAGAGGGATACTGCGTCATTCCTATTAGAGGTATATTATGGGCCTGCAATCACCTAGTTATACTTGTTGGAATTGGTTGAGAATATATTCGTATTTCTGGTTGACTTATCCGGTTTTGTTTTTTTAGGTGATTGAGTATGTCCAATACTTACAGGAGAAGGTACAAAAGTATGAAGGCTCATATCAGGGTTGGGGTCAAGAGCCCACAAAGTTGATGCCTTGGGTAAAAGAAGATTCCTGTGATTGTCTACTGGTTATATACTGTTGACTTCATCACATGATTGCAGTGGCAACCGTGCTTGATTTTTAAAATGTTACTTTATGCAATTGATGAATGAATATAGATGAAGGATAGTTTTATCCTGTTTACATTGATTCTTGGTACCTGATTATTTTGTTTTTTAGTAATTTATGTTATTAATATATTATTTGTACGTACAAAAGCCTAGTTCTGTATAGTTCTGGAAAACAATTTCCTGCACAGCATTCTCTCTCTCTCTCTCTCTTCCTGATTTCATTGCTGAAAAATGTATATGATGATTTCATTTGAGGTTTTCGACCTTGTTACTCAAGAAGAGGAGACGAAAGGGAGATGACAGAACAAATGCAAATGTCTTGGTTAAATTTGAAAAATTAGCATTTGACATTTTTAAATTATCCTCACCTAGTGGGGTTGTTGTTGTTTTTGTTGTGACATTTTCAAGTTATCTGATCATATTTTATGTGTTATACAATTTTAGGACCCGTTGTTCAGAATTAATGTGACTTTAATTAATAGTTGGAAGTTTGCAGCTTCTTATTATTATTCAAGTAGGAGGGGTGGATGGAAGAAGCAGAACTATCTAAACTAAATTGGGAAAACCTCAATGTGCTTGGCTCTTGGCTTTTTACTATATGTAAATGAGTTACCTAAGATACTTGTATGTCATGCAGAGATGATGGCATGATGCTTGACCAACACATCTCTGAATGACATGTGAGAAGAAGAATCAAAAAAACAAAATGTAGATAAAAAGGAAGTTGAGAAAAATGTGGTAAAAAAAATCCAATTTTTCTTTATGTGTTTTCCAGTTCATTATTTGTCCAAAGTGCCCCCAGTTTATCAGAATTTCTCTTGCTCATAGATGTTATCTGATGAAGTGGTCTGCAGTTATTAAAATTCAATACTTTGTTGCAGTTCAGGTCAATTCTTTCTCTTTGGTTGCAGTTATTAACCATGAAAGATTCCTCTGCTTAATATTGGAGCTTGTTATTTCTTTATCATATTAGTTATTGGCTGGTTCTTAGTTTTCTAATTATGGATCTCTTGTGCTGGTTAAACTATTAGAGTTATTATTGTTCAGTTTGCTTACATAGCTTAATGTCACAGAGAAACAGTCACTGGCGTGTTCAAAGCTTTGGCCAACCTCAAGCTGTAAAAAATGGTTCTGGTCCTGTATCACCTTTTCCTGGAAAGTTTGATGAAAGCAACATTAGTGTCTCTCCAACTGTGCTTAGTGGCTCTCAAAATATGATAGATCCTGAACAGGGCAGAGATATTGTCAGTAAAACAGCGGAGAGGCAAGCTGAGTTAGAATGCAAGGGGATACCTCTGCCAATGCCTATGCATGCAAACATGTCTGTTCCTGTCAGAAGTGATGGTGCGCTTGCCCATCCTCTTCATGGGTCTGTTTCTGAGGGGCAATCAACTGAATGTCCTGCCAACAGTGAACCTCAGAATCCACAGGAAGAGCTGACAATTGAAGGAGGAACAATTAACATCTCAAGTGCATACTCTCAAGGGTGGGTGGTTGTTGAAAGTTAATAGTTTTCCTTTGTTCACTGGTATAAATATTTGTTGTGCCTTTTTTAATTTAATTATTATAAAAATATTAAATATGGTTTCCTTGTAGCCGACCTCCCTTTGTGGGATAAGGCTTGTTATTGTTGTTGATTAAATATGGTTTCCTTGTCATATTTGCGGGTCAAATCTTGATGGCTTTCTCTTGAGGTTCTTTATTTTAAATTTGCTAGTCATGAATTCATCATCCTGATTTCATGCCCGTTCCAGCACTTTCTCTTAAGTTATCAAATTTTTGATGTGATTAAGGAGAAGAGGTTACGAAATTGGTCTTAATGCATAATTGGCTTAGCTGATTGTTCCTTACTTTTTAAAAAGAACAATAAAATTTCTAGGATCACTGGCTGCTATTTATGAATTAGCCTTACAGCATTTCATCCCCTAGTTTCGTGTCACAGAATGGAAGTTGAATCTTAGTGTGTGGGTTCTCTCCTGAGTTTGTTCAGTTGCCACCTGAATTTCATGGTATGCAAAATACACCTGTTGGAGAAATTGGGATCATGTTAGTTTCCTCTTATGTTGAAGTTTAAAGTGTAATTGATGTTCTGAAAGCATCAATTGTGCATGCGTATATTGATAGGTAATTATGAACTTTTGGTTGTGGTATTGTGAGTATTTCAAATGATTGGAGCAAGTGATATAAGCTCGAGATCTTTATTCTTCTGCACAAGTTCTTTTGATTCTAAAACTTTGTTGAATTTCCAGCCTGTAATGTTAAGTGGACTGAGCATGTGGCATTTGTTTTGCTTATATAGTTGATTTGTCAGCTCTAATGATAAATATGTAATATATTGTGTGATGAACAGGCTGTTACACAATCTGACTCAAGCACTACAGAGTGCTGGTTTAGATCTCTCACAGGCTAGCATTTCTGTTCAAATCAATCTTGGAAAGCGGGCAAACAAAGGACTGGGCTGTGGGACATCTGCTTCTATGGTACTATAACTCACTCTTACATGTGACAAGATTTTCATCCTATGGGACCATGTTTACATTTATGGACTTGCCTACTTGTCTTAGGAAGACAACATTAATATTTGATACACTGCTTTGTAAATGTTTTTTGTATAACCCTTTATGCATACCATTTTGATAGAAAATATTTATTTTTGTACAGGATACCAAATGAATATGTTTGATGAATATTAGTAATTGTTCTGACATATTTAGACTCTGATTTTTCTGACTTAGAAAATGGACCAATAGTGCCATAAGACACATTAAATCATGAATTTCAATATTTTTATTTTAAATTAGTGTTAGGACTTGATAGTATGCAAGTTAGAAGCAGATTACATTGGAGAACTCGGTGTCTGGTAGGTTTAACAAGTTTGGGCTTTGGTAGCGAGAATGTTACTTGTTGTTTTTTCATTGTTGTTACACTGACCATGTGTGAAACATAAATTCAAGTATACATAGATTTTAACTATAAGGAGATGAAGGCTTTTTTATTCATGCTTCATTGCAATATGGCTTTGCTAAAAATATGTTGATAGAGCTGAAGAATTAGGAGAGATTTATATATCATTTCCTAGGGCCTATAACATAGTCTGTATGAAGGGAAATGGTGTAGGAAAGAGACTAAAGAATTATCTTCCAGTGGACAATAGAATTACCCAAAGGTTCCCGGCCACGGGGAAAAAGTGATGCATGAATAGTGATTAGGTTCCGCTAGGATTATGTTCAACCTTTTGTAACTTTTTGGGGCTTTAATCTTTCCTTTCGTGTCGGGGGGGGGGGGTTTCCTTTCGTGTCGGGGGGGGTTATTTTGAATACCGAGATTGGTGAGGAGAGTTCTGGGCTCTCAAAAGTCTAGTGTATTGGGGTGGAGGAAGTCATCTTTGTTAATCATTTTATCTTCTGCTTGGTGAGTTTGTGAGTGGCTTATGTCTATGTTACTGTTCGTGAGTGTGTTTTGTGCTGTCTCTGTAACTGTAGTTTAGGTGTACGAGTGTATGAGGGATATGAGTTTGGCGTGAATCATCATTATCCTTGTAATCAAAAATTATTTTTCTGATTTTTGCTTGTTTTAAATTTGTTAGAGGAGAGGGTTCCATCATATGTAATAGGAGCAGTTGATCAGAAAGTGATAAGTAGCATATTTAAATAACTAATCTTATGTGGTCATGTTAATTTCTTACTCCTGTAGTCCTATGGTCATTAAGTTAGTTACAGAACCAAATAATTTACAGAGAAACGTAAATTCAGCTATATGGAGATGGATTGTTGGTTGTGACTGCCCAAAGTAGCACTAGGACTGGATCAGGGAGTGTTAATTAAGCATTTCATTGAAATTGAAATGGTTAATCAAATGAGTATATTAACCTTTAAATGGAAAAATATAGAAGGGGAAAAAGGAAGGTAAAAATGGTGAGTCTATTCTTCAATAGTCAAATTTTTACCTGGAGGATCCTACAAATTGTGCAACAACACTCCTAGTTTTACACGTAAAACCAGTATTTACTCGCTCCTCTACCTTTCTGAGGCTAATATTTCAATTTGTTGTGCAGCATCATGATAATATCCCATCTAGCAATCAAGCAATACCACATTTTAGAGATGCTGGAAACGGGGACGATACAGATCAAGCTCAGAAGAGGCTAAAAACGTAGAGAATCTGGATTCTGAGCCTCCATCATCATCTAGAGTCTCTACCTCCGCTTCTTCCCTCTGAAATGGGACATTTATCGAGGTCACTGTACATCCTTTCCTTTGGGCTTCTAGATTTTCACCCATTCATGTCATTTTAGAACTATACGTTTTAGGACTCATTGTTATTTGTGGAGATATTGAGGTTTTCTAATGTTGTAGGCATGTCATATATTTCAGATTGATTGGTACATATTATTTATTCAACACTGTTATTGAGCTTTTGGGGGTGGCAGTTTTATCCAATCTATTAGGATGATGCTACTTGTGAAGAAGGGAGACTCCTTGTAATGCAGTAGCAGAGGAAGTGAATTTAATTGCAGAGAATGTCAATTTGGTAATTTTTCTTTTTTTGACGTACTTCAGTTTTTTTAAAGTGAAGTAGTTGCGAGCTGAGTTTTCATTCAATTCCATTGGCCTGAAGATGTACCGCCACAATAAAATTTGCCTTGGGTAGATGATTTTGTGCTCATAGTTTCATTAAATGGATAAAACCATTCCTCAATACAAGAAACACTTAAAAAATCAGATTTGAGATACATTCAAGCTCAAATTTAAAATACTGTAAGTTGGACATTTAACAGAAAAACTATTGTATTAGTGAGACGGGAGGCAATGTTTTCAGTTGTTATCACAGGCATCTTGCAATTGTGAGCAACCAGCTAGATTTGGAAATTCTATAGAGGTCCTTTTTCTTGATCAACAAAATTGAAGAGTGGTTTGGTCAAATAATTCCTTTGAAATACCAATCATCAGACTTGTGCAGTTTCTCAAATTTAACCGGAGGGAGGTGGGTTTAAGTGCAACGTGTCTCAATAATCTGATATTTGTTTCTTATTAAGGTTAGGATGAATTATAATGCTGGTACATTCAATGCAATTTATATATATATATATATATATATTACCAACAGTTAATTTATTTCGGTTTTTTAAAATTTACAAATAATACTTCTTAATTATATATTCACTTTTATTTTTAAATTTAGTTTAAAATTTAATACTATTTTTCTTTAAAGATATAAAATGAAACACAAATGTGTATCATAAAATTTATATCTTTTTCGGTCATTATACATCTAGATCTATTTTTGAATTACATAATATAAACATAATTCAATTTGTTAAACCAAGTTTTAAGGGAAAAAAAAAAATCTACGTTGTAGAAATAAACTGTAACATGGGACTAAATGACATAATATCTGTCCCATCAGCTGTAAATCTAGTGTGTTTGCCAAATATACGTGGTTGACTATCTCATTGTAAAATGATGTGTCAAAATCTGAGACAACATAAATAATGTATGATTGGATATAATTATAAAATAAAAATGTTCCATAACAAACGCAAATAGACACAAATATGACATATTAATGTTGTAGCAGACGAGAATATTGATAGAGCTGAATGCAAAGAAAGAGATGTGTTCATATAATGAATACATGATTAAAGCCCCTTAAGTCTAACATAAGACCAGCGTAATGTTACTCTCTTGAACCTCAAACTTTGGGAAAATTTGGAGCAGCCAGCCAGATTTAAAGATTCAAGAGAGCTTTTGCCAAATAATTCATTTGGAATACTTACTAGGTTTGTGCAGTTTCTCAAATTCAAAAACTTAAGCTTTGTCAGATACGCAATAGAAGGATGAAGCTACACTAATGAAGTACATCCTTCCATGTCTAACTTCTCAAGACTTTGAAGCAATCTAAAATCACGTGTCTCCTCCATGTCTTCAGAGCCACCAAGGATATATCTCTGGATAGAACATCACACAATCATCAAATTCAAAGATGAGGTTTTTAATTGAAACATCAAAAAGATTTTTTGCCAAATAATTCATTTGAAATACTTACTAGATTCGTACAGTTTCTCAAATTCAAAAACTCCAGGTTTTGAAGAGATGCAATAGAAGGATGAAGCTGCACTAATGAAGTACATCCTTCTAAGTCTAACCCCTCAAGACTTGGAAGAAATCTAAAATTAGGTGTCTCCTTCAGATCTTTAAAGCCACAGAGGTTCAAGCTCCTTAACAGCAGAATATCTTTCTGGATAGCTAATTAAACAATCATCAAAACTTGTTCAAAGACAAAATTTTTAATTGAAACATCCAAAAGAATTTTTCACAATCACTAGTGTCAATGCGAGAAGTGTTGTAATGACACTTTGTTATGTAAATATCCCAATGACAGCGAGACTTCAGCACTTCTTAATGAGAGGAATATTGAATAAGACATATTCTTTGAAAAATTGAAGTGAGATATTTACGACCTGTTTGTTTCTATTCTCGTTTTTTGTTTTAAAAATTGTTTTGCCATAGAATTTTTAAAACTGTTTTTTCAAAACAAAATAAAAAGAAAATATCTGTTTGGTTATGTTAATTGAAAAATCAGTTTTATAATTAAAAATCGGCCAATAGCATGGTCATTGGAGGTTAATAGTAGTGACTTATGATAGCAATTGTTCAAGATGACTGTAATTTTCAATAACTTAAAAATAAAATAAAAATAACTTTAATATATTTCTATATTTATTTTAAAACAAGAAATGAGAACATTTTTTAAAAACAATTAAATTAAAAACACTTATTTAAACAAATTTTTAATTTTTTATTTTTAAAAACAAAAACCAAACAGGCCCTTAAATTGTGAAATATAAAATCATGGTTCGCTCAACAAATTAAAAGCAAGCATGTAACTTTATTGATCATAATCAATTTAATTTTGATTGATATACGTAAACGAAAATTATCAATACCTCTATAGCTCTTCATAGTTGTGTTATGTTGCTATCTGGCATGATCAATCCCATAAGAAATTTTGGCTTAAGATTTGATGGCAAACAATTAAGTGGATACTTATGCCAAGAAATATATCTCAAGTAGTCAGAAAGATCAGAGATTTCCTGAAAATTTCACGTTGTGGAATATAAGGATTCTAAGTCTTGTCAATTTTGATAAACCTTCTATGTTTAATGTTGTTCCTTGTGGATGTTCTTCATCATTTGAGAGTACTATGACTTCAACACAATCAGTTCCCTGGATATAAATGGATTGCATAAGTAAATAAATAAGTCAAAATTAATTATCAACCCTAATTGTGTTTATATATATATATATAAACACAATTAATAACTAAGATTCTAACTCCTAAAATATAAATGTTTTATCTATATAATCTATAAAAATAATTAAAATCAAATTAATATAAAGGCTTTGTTGAAATCATAAATTGGGTTATTTGTTAATATAGTTAATTAAGGTGAACATAGTTTATCTTAATTATGTCCATGCTGTCTAAAATGTCAGTACTTTCTGTTCACAAGCATCTAGATGGTTTTTTATTTTTGTTTTTGTTTTTAATATAACTGAAATCATTCATAAAGATGATAAGCCAATTACAACATCCTATCAGGGATACAAATTAATCGCCTTCTTCATCAATTCCTAACATTTAAGGACGGAAGGAATAAGCATGGTCTTTTGCAGTACATTTTATCTAAGTTGGGGGATATTTCATGAACTAAACTAACAACATACATAACTAAAGGCTAAATTGATAATTTACTTTTAAGGCTATTAAAGTATAAAGAACTTACAGTGTTTGTCTCCATGATATAACAGAAATCTTCATAATTCCATATCCTACTCCGCTGTCCAGGTTCAGGAGATTCATCAAGAACAATTACTTTTGCTAATTGTTGTAGGATAGGATGTATTTTTATTCTTTGACTTGATATGCTCATCACTGACTTTTCTATAAGACTTTCGATTATCATATCACGAAAAGATGAAAAAACATATCGACAAAATAAAATTCCTTTGATATGATCAATCTTTTGTCCTGCAAAACAACATGCAATATCCAAGAAGGCATTCTTTTGCCAATCTGTGAGTCCATCAAAACTTTTCTTAAGCACTGCGAGTACTGAAGGGTCAGGAACTGTTTGAAGTTTGGTCAACACACTTTTCCACTCTGAGACACTTAGATCAACAAGCGATGAACCTACTGATTTAATAGCTAATGGAAGGCCGTCAGCATATTTAAGTGCTTCGAGGGTCAGCCCCTCATAACCTGTCATTGGTTTATCACTTTTGAAAACGATTTTGCAGAAAAGTTGAAGAGCTTCATTTTGATTCAATAGTTCCACCTCGTGAATCTCATCTACTCCAGGATGTCTAAGGAGTCCCTCGTCTCTGCTTGTCATGATAATTCTACTTCCTCCTCCAAACAACCGTCTAATCCATCCTCCATTAAAATGTTTCGAGTACTCAACATCATCAAAAACAACAAGCATCCGCTGGAGTCTTGGGCTTTTTAAATATGAAGGTTGAAATTCTTTTGGCAAAGCTATCTGAAGACAGGCCTCCTTTAATATGGATTGACTTGGAGGATAATCTTGAGCGGTAGTTGGAGTGGAGATGAAATAGGCAGGATCAAAAAGGTGGGAGATTTTTTTAAAGACATCTTCGGCAAGAGCTGTCTTCCCTACTCCCCCCATCCCACTAATCCCTACAAGTCGCACATCATAATTTGAGCCCAAGTCCACGAGCTCAATTAATTTTTCTACATGGTGATATCCTATCCCAACTGTAGCTATTTCTCCTGATTTATCTATTTCTCTATCACGTGCTTCGATGTCATATAGCGATGATATCCTGTAGAAGAGAAGAAGAACAAAAGTAATTTAGTGGTTATTGTTTCATATATGTATGAGTGCGGACAAGATTTCAATTAGCTCGAAATTTTGTTACATAAGTTTTCAAATCTTATTTCTCTATTCGCACACACACATAAGAAAGGACTTGATCAATTTGAGATAGCCAAGTATATGTAGAGAAAGAACCATAAAGAACTAAAGTTATGTTACTTACAAAGCACGCTTATTACCCCTAAATTTTGGTAGATGTCTTAACAATATTATGAATAACCCACAACTGATCACTCCTGAATAAGATGAAAGAAAAGAAAATTAGTGCTACCAATGAAGTGAACAGATGTCAATTCTTGATGAAGAAGATTGCAAAGAAAATGAAATTGATTGCACACTAATCTATGAATCAATTGCCTAAATTTATATAAAATGAACTATTCGAGAAATTGAGTAATTAAATAAGGAAAGAAGATAAAGATTAAATGATAATTAAATCATAATTTATTTCTTTTCTCTACCTCAGTTTGTAAGGAAGAAATTTAAAAAATACGAACAGGACAATTAGAGAAGAAGGTCGTACTTATCTTGAACCACCAAATCTTGCATAGGAAGTGAACATGGCCCCAACTTTTGTTCAAGCAGTTCATGAAAACCACTACGTACTTGAAAAGGATCCAACTCCCAAAAAATTGGTACAAACTCGCGTCTCTCTAAGTTCAGTACCTACGAGTAGTGTGTTTGGGCCTCATAGTTTTTTGAGACGATAAAAACACGAAGCTTGTATTTGTCCGTGGGAGCTAGAGCAAAAGAATCTCGAGAAGCCATAACCAGACCATTTATATATAGAGCATTGCGAAGGTCTTCAACAAATGAGCAATTTTCCTTAGTTATGAAATTCAATACAAACACATCACAGCTCCATGGCCATATCCCCTTGGTCGACCACCGTACACTCCTCTGGACATGCGTTGCAAATCTGAAACTGTTAGTTCCTCAGTAACATTTAACCACACTTGCTTCCCAAACCTTTGTGTGATATAAGTATTAATTATTAGTACTCTCAGAAGCTGGTTGGGCAGTTTCAAGTGGTAAACAAAGAGGAAAAACTCTCGTTCCTTGAAAGAAAACCTAAATGAGCTATGGAAATCATACCCCTAGCTTTGCCAAAACAGTCTTGCACTGTTAATTTTATAATTTGTCTGTTTTTTTTTTTTGTTCTATTACGATCTCCTTGAAAAAATAAATAAGTGGTTTGATCAATTTGAGCATGAACAAAGACTTCTGATCAGAACGATAATATTTCATACCCAACAAAATATAAATAATTAAACAGAATGTAACTTACGTCTCTTTCTCTTCGACCAAAGTTCTCTTTGCTTCCACTGCTATTTTGCCTATAACTCGTCTTTGATCTTCCCTAGAGAAAATAAGAGAACAAGGATAAAAATTATGGGGAAGAGAACAGATGGGTGATAAGAAGTGAAAGGACACCACCCCTTAGTTCAATACTTCAACACTTGGACGGTCTAGCTAATTTTATCTGACTCACACTTGGACGGTCCGACTACTTAACAATTGAAGAAATCTGTGTCTATGTTATTCCCACATCGCAACATATATTGTGAAGGTTGTAATCAACTTGTTGACATGCATTAGGAGATCATAAAGATGAGACGAATGTGAATAATCAGATCCATATCCAACGATATGTAAACTGACAGAACATTAATAATTACTTACGGGTCTTGTATGACCAAATCTGGCCGTTCCAGTAGTGTCTGTAATGGAGCTAGCCATGTTTTCAGTTCAGACGGATCGATGTTGAAGAAAATTGGCAGAAATTTGTGACCCGGCACCTTCATGCACTCAAACACTACTGCCAGTGAATCCAAGCGACTTGGTGAGAAAGCATATCTTTGTGAGAAGACAACTATATAAATCTGGGATTCTTCAATTATTTCTAATGGGTGAGGCCAGCTCCCGCCGATTCTGAAACCTTCTTTTTCTAAAGCATTCGAAAGCATTCTATACAGCGGGCCAGTTTCCATATCATTGTAACTTATAGCCACATCAAAATTCCAGTCACTCTTTGATGATGGTGAAGAAGCAGCGGAAGGACTGCTTTGGGAATCCATTGGTAATGATGGCCACACGATATTCACTGTGATATATCAATAAATATCAACAGAAAGTGGGAGGCAGTAGCATAGGAAATTTACAAAATTAGACACATCCGTTGTTCCCTGCTTCTCTGGGCTACCTATATGGTGTGAACGCATTGACTTCGACTTCAAGTGCAAGTACGATGCAATTGCCCTCTCAATTTCATCAATTAACAAATCCTGAGTTATTTTTTATTATTTGCTTAGTGTTAACATTCCTTTTGTCTTATTTTATAAGACATTTTACTTGTTAAATTTTAAAAATGGTAAATTCCAATAAAATCAATTAAACAAATGCTAGAATTTTAATTTCTCTATAGATTTCTAAAAATAATTGCTATTTAATAAGAAAGAGAGAAAGAAATATTTATAAGTGAAATAATGATAGTGAGAGATAATTTTAAAATTAATTTAATTAATAAATAATTTTTTCGAAACATCTTATATTGTAATTATATTAAATTACTTCAAAAATCATCTTACGAAAGGGAAAAGAGGTAGTATAACTAATTAATGGTTTTCGATTGTTCATTGGCATAAATATTGGGTATGACTTATTTAAATTATTATAAATATTAAATTATGGTTCTTTTTTAAGGTTCATTGATTTTTTACTTGCTAATCATTAATTAATTTCATTATCCTTATTTCACGTACGCGTCAACTACGCCATTCCGTCAAGACACATGGTGTGAACGCATTGACTACAAAGCAGCTCATTGTTGACTTCAAGTCTTTCCATGCAATTGCCTTCTCACTTTCAACAATGCGTTTTGTGTTTTTAAAGAATCAATCATATTGGACGCATCATCACAGACAATAAGGAATATTGGATCAAAAGTTATTCTACCCAACACAGTAGCTAAGCTCATAGAAATTTACAAAGACCTTATTCTTTATTAAAATGAAAGATTACCTAAAGTTAATGTTCATATTGATTTGATGGAGGCGTTATCTCTCATTACTTATAATTACTTTGATAGCCATCCATTATCTAACATCATTAAAAATATCAGAAAACTCACTCTGAGAGACTGGGTAATCACTTTTGACTATATATATAGAGAAGCGAATAGATGCACAAACCACTTAGTGCACCGGATATCTCTTGACAATTTTGTTACTATGATCTACAATATTTCTCCGCTTAATTGTAGAAGCCTTTTAGTTTTAGATATGACTAGATTTTAGTCTTTTTGCACGATTTTACTGTGGGAATATTAAAAAAAGGAATAAATAATACTCCCTCCCACCCAAAATATAAATTTTTTGCTTTTAACTAATTTTTATCCAAAATATAAATAACTTATTAATTGTAGAAAATTTTTCTTTTATATTTTACCCATTGTATTTATTAACCAGTCAGATTCTTGTTTGAATTTATGGCAGGGACAAGGCATCTCCATTTCTCATCTCTCCATCTCCCTCACATCACTCTTGGATCAAAACTTTTCAACAGTTCAGATTTAATTTTGATAAAATTATCATTTTAATTTTATATAAAATATATAAATAAAATATTATAGTTTTAAATTATTTAGATTAAAATTTAATAGTTTAAATTTATTTATATATCTTTATATAAAATTAAAATAATAATTTTATCAAAACTTAAATTTGAATTGTTAAAATTTTGATCCAAGAGTGATAAGAGGGAAATGAAGGGAAGTGGAGACACCCTCTCCCCATTTTTGACATTCTTCTTAGTTCTCACTCATCATTGATAATTGGCACTAAGAGTAAAAAAAAAAAAAAGAGGAGAATAAAGAGTTTATTGGAATGCAGATTATTGTTAAAAATATTTTATAATATTAAACGAATGAAGTAGTTAGTCAATAAAAAAATTACACCCGTTATGGTTCCATAATATAAAGACAAGTATTTGTTTGTTTGTTTTTTTTTTTTGGGTATAGAATATAGCCAAAAAATGTTACCATCATCGTTATATTCAAATTTAATTTTAAATGCAATGATGCGCTTTAATTTTCCTCACACGCCAGGAAAATGCATTTTTCATTGATAAGTATAGGCCTATATTTGTTTAATTGTTTCGATGAGGGTGGATTTTATATTTGATCATGATACGATGAGGCGTGTTGGCGCAGTATATGAACGATTCTCGGGCAAAAAAAAAAAAAAAAGATTATGCAAACGATCCACGGGGATATATAAGATACTTTGTAAAAAGTCAATAACATTTAATTCATTTTTCTGCAAATACCTTTGTTAATTGCATTGTAGAGAAATATTACATAAAAAATAAATCAAAGATAATTAAAATAAATAGATTTTAATTGTAGGGTAATCTTGCAATATAGTGATATTTTAATTTTGCCATTTTAATTATATAAATTACTTTTAACTACTTTTCCTTCTGGTTTTGTAGAGTAGTTGCTTTCTAGCTTTCCTTGTTTATTTTAAAAAAAAGAAAATCTTAGGAAGGTGCATATATGTGGCAGTTGTGGTGACATAGAAAAGATTTGATCAGTGTTGTGTGGGAAGGAAGGTTGAGGATCAGAAATATTGCTTTGTAGATAATTGCTTTGGTATTAGCTAGGAAGCTGACATGATCTTATCTCGTAAGAGAATATTTCAGTGTTACGCGGACCAGAGAATTGACATGGACGTATTTGATGATCAATAATATTATATTTCTATTTAAGTAAATGCTAACTAAGAATTTTGATCTATGTTGAATGTGGGGCTTATTTAAGAAGCCTTGATCTAATATCTTAAATTCTTGTAGGAATTGCTTCCTCCGTTGCCTCCATGCTTTCACATCAATCAACAAGGGCTTCAGTGCTTGGAATCATTCGCGGATCGATGTTGAAGAAAATTGGCAGAAATTTTTGGCCTGTTAACTTACAATCGCATTATATTTTGAAGATGAAGGTGATGATGATGGTGATCATGGTTTAGGCCATTAAAACGACAACCTTATGCCTCCAAAAATATTTGCTTATACCTTAGATAACTGATTATTATTTTTCGTGTTAAGTATTAATGTTAGTTATATATTTTCATTAATAATATTATTGATAATACCAGTAATAGTTGCTACCATTGAAAGGTTTTTTTTAAATTAAAATTGTTTAAATCTTATTTAAGATCAACTAATTTACAAAATAAATGAAATGTATTAGCTATATTATCTATTGAAAGTAAAACATTTTAATATTTGATTTTTCAAGTTAGAAAAATGATATTAAGATAGATAAATGACAATATTAAGTGGGTGTGATATAGATGATATCAATTTGAATCTCTTAAACATCCTTTCAAGGTTTGATTTTTGGATGTGTGGATTGAAAAGCATATCTTGTGACATGATTGTAGTGGGTCAACAGAGAATTTTGCATAACCCAACTAACGTGGACGAGCTAAACCACACAAAGCATGGCCCAAGTAGTAAAAGCGTCTTGCTTAGCTTGAAGTTGCCCAAAAGATACCACACATATCCAATAAGGTCAAAATCCAAGGATAAAAGCCTATCGTCTAAGGATCTACTATCAAGTTGTGGAGGTCCAGTGATGATAGCTTAATCCATCATAAAGGCATATAAGGAGGGTTCTCTAATGATAATTCATGTGTTACAAGTCAAACCCAATGAAGAGCCCATTACTTTGAAGAGGAGTTCAAAGAGCAATAGTTGATTCAAGCATAAGCCATGATGGATCACGAAATCAGATCTATTTTTGTCACACCTCAATATAGAGGGTGATCGGCATAGATGCAAACTATTTCGCACATTTCTGTAAGTTTTAAAATAAAAATTCATTCCATTGCAAAAATAAATAATCAGATTATATAAAAATTTTAAACATTTTTAATGCTAATTGTCATAGCAAACTTTCAACATTTTTGTAAAAGTTTTGACAAAACCTTATTTATCTCCCAAAAATTCTACAACTCAAAAATTTTCACAGCATATAATATCATTCAGGAGCTTTGCTCCTTTCAGCCAGCAAATAGTATATAGATCACAATAAAGTCCTAACAATAATCTATATGGAGCAACTAATCTTTCTTCTAAATTAAGATACATAAAACTTAAATATATACATCAAAAAGTAACAATATCAAATAAAATTTTCACCCGATATAGCTGTATTACCCTTCAGAGGTTGATGGTGGGATCAGCGTTAGCTAATAAATTTGAGACCAAATTAAATTTTTCTAGTGAATAGCATTCCCAAAGTAGAATTTAAAAGAATTAAAATAATAAATTCAAATATTAGTGTAAATTAATTGAAAAGATGGTAATTCAACATGATAAATTTATAAGTCTATAAATCATAATCTTAACTGTAAAAATGAGAGTAAATTTGAAAGCAATTTATTTTGTCATGCTTAAAGAAAATAATTTATTTACACATAAATCAAAATAATATACTTGCTAACCAAAACCATGGAAATCTCGAAAACACATATTAGTCAACATTTAGAATTTTGACAACTCAACATAATAGGTAATAAATGTGGACACACAGTCCATGAGGGTAAATAATCAAATGTGGCTTATGCCACGAAAACAAATATGAACACACAGTCCACAAGGGTAAGTAACTAAACGCAGCTGAAGCTGCGAAATAAATGTAAGCGCACAGTCCATGAGGATAAATAACCAAATGCGACTCATGGCCATGAAATCAAATGCGAGTACAAAATTCACGAATAACCAATGTAAGAACAAAGCCCACAAGACAAACTAGCTAGTTTCTAACCACAATGCTATAGGCTAACGAAACTGCCGTTAGTAATAGTATTCTGTTTAGAGTTCTTTTAAAAATTACGTTTTGAATATGCAAGGAAATAATCACTTCTAAAATACAATTTACATTTTCAGTACCCAACTCGCATGAATCATTTTAAATTTTAATTTAGTACTTGTCAAAATAATATTTCATAAATAATTTACAAGCTTGCGTTAATTGAATAACAAAGAATTTTTAGAGTTTAATAAAC